CCGCCATAGGGGGCAATGCCACTGCCACAGAGGGGCAGTGCCCACAACTGTGCCCGAACAAGTTTTCGCCCTTCTCTCTGGAAAAAAAAAGGGTGGTGCCCATCTCATCCAAACTTCACCGCTCTTAGAAAAAAGGGCGGTGCACCGCCCTAGGATGGTGTTACCACCACCCGAGGGTGGTGGCCACTGTGCCATGGATGCGCGTTGGCTGCAATTTTGTCAAGTTTCGACCCACGGACAACCCGAACAACTCTCCGCACATGATGCTAACTCTCAAGATGTTTTTTCAAAACATGTTAGATCTAAATTAGCATTTCCAAAAATATTTTTATAAATATTTTTCGCTTGCTCTCAATTTCACCACGCCATATCAACCCTACAGAAACGAAATCGAAGTCTGTTTCTCACGGTGCTAGCTGGGAACGGCGCACGCTTTTGTTTGCGGTGACCGCTGGTGCTTCTTTGGTTCTTCCTCATGGTGCAGGTGGTACCGCCACGGCCCGCGGCAAGGAGCGCCGCCGCCCTCGCGGCTCATGCCGACCAGCAGCGCCACCTCCTCCTCCACGCGTGCCACTGGCGTTGCTGTCTTAGACGTCGCTTTCGGGTGCTGCTCTTCCAATCTCCAATCTCAATCCCCAATCCCCAATCCCAAACGACATGCTGCTCTTCCATGGCATGTCCGCCTCAACTGCGCTGGGGCCTCGCCCGGTGGCGGCGGCCGGGACTGGGCTCGAGCTCGCCCATGGCGTTCGCGACCAGGGCTCGACCTCGCGGGGCACAGGGGCATCGTTCGGTGACGGCGGGCTCACTGGTACGCCATGCGCCGCTACCACGGTAGCCGAAGCACGCCGCGCAGTACGACTGAGGCCAGGACGCGGTCGCGACGGAGGTGTGCCCATGAAGGTTGCTATGGATGACGGTGGCATGGCTGCAGCCATGAACGACGGTGTGTGCATTCTCCATGTTTGTAGAAATGCCTGAAAGAAAGAAGGGTGGTAAACTTCATCGCATGCTGCTCCAAGGTTACCCCGTACACATGTACAGGCAAACAAACAAAATCCCTACGTAGCATGTCTCTGCTGGGAAATGGAACCAAACAAACAGCTGTTGCACCTGTTGGTCCTGCCCGCCGGTACCCTGGCTCTCTTGGTCCGGCCAGGCTGGGAACGTCTAGGCAATCAAACACGCCCTACATGCACGCGGGCGGCGGTGGGCTCACTCGGCATTGGAGGAGGAGGAGCGGCGTGCCAGAGCACGCGCGCGTGGCAATGGTGGCCGAACTCCCGCGCGAGACGACGGCAGCGGGCTCACTTAACACCAGAGGAGAAGCGGCGGTGTGCCAAAGGATGGTGCAACGGAGTTAGGTGGAGTCCAAGCAGGGGCGGCGTGGGGAGCCCGAGGCGAGCGACGGGTGGAAGAGGAGGAGCGCTTGGCAGCGCTCCACGCATGCACGCGCGTGGCGGCAGTCGGACTCCCGCGTGAGGCTGGGCCGGAGGTGAGGGAGGTGCAGCTGGGTGGCGCAACAGGGAGATCCTGCGTGACTGTCGGAGCTCCTCATCGGGATCAGAGTGTAGACATCGTGACACAACCGTCCAAGCTCCTTGGCACGGCGCGGAATGAGGGAGGAGCCGTGACGTAGCAGTGGCCAGGAGCGACGACTACGCTGCGGTCGGTGACGGAAACAGATGCAAGGAGGAAGGGAAAAAAACAAGTTGTATTCGTGTATAATGAGTGGTATGGTAGGTAAATTTTTGGTAAATCTAGATTTCGTGGAGCTAAAGTGTTTGAACGAAAAAATCGAATTTAGAGCTTTTTTTTATCTAGAGTATTTAGAGCTCTCCTAAAGAGGCCTTAAGGTGCTATTTGAATGACTAATCTGGATTATCTAGTATAAGGGAGATTATGAGATTTTGAGAATTTGAGTGATGAGATTTTGGGAATCGGCCTTTTATGATTAATCTAATAATATTTATCTAGTTTCACAATTATTAATATTTTTTTGTAATTTTAGTTAGAGTCAAGATTATATGGAGACTTAGGGGGTGTTTGATTTCTCCTCCTAAACTTTAGTCACTGTCCCATCGGATGTTTGGACATATGTATGGAGTATTATATATAGATTAATTATGAAACTAATTGCACAGCTTACGACTAATTTGCGAGACGAATCTTTTAAGCCTAATTAGTCCATGATTTGACAATGTAGTGCTACAGTAAACATATGCTAATGATGGATTGATTAGGCTTAATGAATTCGTCTCGTGAAGTACCGACGGATTCTATAATTTATTTTTTTATTAGTATCCGAACACCTTATACAACATCCTCATGTGACACCTCCTAAATTTTAGTCATCGGATCCCAACACCCCCTTATTTTGGGAGGGGGTGCTCCATTCTAAAATGCCTGTTCTGTCTGCTCAAGTCATTTCAAACATAAAAGCATTGATCGTGTTGGTAGTCTGGATGCTCATGAATCATGATGGTAGTCTGGATGTTACCCCAAAATGGTCCCGGATGAAGTGAGTAGGTCCGACGGCGGCGGATCATATTCTCACAAGGAAATCCTTGCCCTGAACAAATCATTGCCCCGGCCACACTTTTGATCATGTTTCTGGGATGATTTCTTATGCGAGGTTGAGGGAGATGTTGTCTGACCACTCGCAGCGGGTTGATGTTTTTTTCCCGTTGACAGTCCATGTCTCCATGAGCGTTTACAGCAAGGGAAGACCGCACGGGCAGGAACCTCGATGGAGAAAAGAAGCTACTACTCTGCAAATCCAGCTAAAGTTTAAAGATGAAGGCAGGAACCTCGATGGAGAAAACAAGCTACTACTCTGCAAATCCAGCTAAAGTTTAAAGATGAACAAATTGAAGCACAATAAAAAAAGCTTATGACGACAGGTGTCCTGGAGTACATCCGTGACCTCCAAGCAAAAGGACTTGTTGTTGGCGCGCAGGGTGCCACGCGTGTACTGGATTACGAAGGCATATAAAGCTGATTGTTTGCTTCGAAAAAAAGGATAAGCTGATGGGCTGAGCGGGCTGGGCTCCAAGATTGGCTCGTCGATTCCATTTCCATATAAAAACTGATGGGACATGAGCTCCCACCAGGAGCAATGAATGGCAGTCCGATGTCGATGCCTTGGTGTGTCATCGTGACCCAAATTGCTTTTTTCATTCTACACCTGCTAATAGATTGGATTATTAAGTTGGTGCACTTTAGGATGAGTCAATTTTATCAATGGGTCACGTTGGATTGAGTTTTTTTTTGTTTGGAGATTGATGAATAGGTTGAATCCATGGGTTAGTGTTGGGTTTTCTATATATCGTACAGTGTAGAAATGGGTTAAGTCATTGCAATGTACTACCTCCGTTCCAAGTTATAAGACGTTTTGATTTTTCTAGATACATTGCTTTTACTGTGTATTTAGACATAGTGTATATTAGTGCACAACAAAACTTATATATCTTGAAAAGCTAAGACGTCTTATAATTTAAAACGGAGGGAGTATCAGATGTTCTAACTAATACGTGAGTTTCATATGAGACCCACATGATTATCTTTCTATGATTATTGGCATGACAGAACTTCCTATTACATTATATCATATCTAGCAAATTTTAGCCAAATTTTGGTAAAATTTTATAATGTGAATGCGAGCTTTTAGTTTTAGGTTCGCTTTTGATGTGGGGCCTAAGACCCACATGGTTATCTTTGCTGCTTTGTTAACTCTTGTCCTACAAGTGGAGAGCTATAGGCTACCTCTCGCCGAATTTTGGTATAACACCACCGGTTACCACTCCAGCCTGAATACAATACTCCTTTTGAAGTCTTGTATGGTCATCCACCAACATTCGTTGGCATTGCTCGTGCTGAAGCTTGTGCCATTCCTGATCTAGCAACTTGGTTATAGGAAAGAGCCATGATGACCAAACTGTTATAGTTGTGGTTGTAGCGTTTCCAACAGCGCCAAAATAATGATAAAAATCGTACTAAATGCCATTTTAAAGTTGGAGATCAAGTCTATTTGAAGTTGTAACCTTATATTCAGACCACTGTGGCTCCTTGTGCCAATTACAAGCTCTCTTTCAGAGATTTAGGCCAATTCCCTATTCTTCAAAATATTGGGTCCATGGCTTATAAACTACACCTTCCACCTTGTCACATTCATCGAGTGTTTCATGTATCTCATCTCACACTTGTTGTTGGCCCCCCTCATCAGGTCACTACTGAGATACCTGATTCAACTTCTTCATTTCAAGTGCCTGTCAAAGTTCTTTAGCATCACACTATTTCTCATCGTGATGAATTGCATTCTCAAATTCTGGTGCAATGGTCCGAGTGGCGACCATTGATGGTGACCTGGGAGTAAGGATGAAAACGATACGGAAATACCCCGAACCGAACCGTAGTCGTTTTCTACATTTAACCCGATCGAATTCGTTTTTTGCGGACAAAAACGGATACTAAATTCGAAAACGAAATACGGAGTACATAATTCGAAATTCGGTACGAAATCGGTTTGGGCATTTGTTCGTTCGATTTCTACATTTCTACATTATATTCGAAATATACCAAATTTAAATTCAGTTTAGAACCGAATTTGGTCCAGAAGGGCAGAGGGCACTAGCCCATGTACTAGCCCAGCAGGGCACTAGCCTAGCCTAATAACGAAGCTAACCCTAATCCCCAAACTCCCACTAGTCCACTACCCTGTCTACCCATCCCTGGACCCCGGTCCCAGCGTGGATCGCCTGACGGCTCCTCAGTCCGCCCCCTCCCTGTTGCTTTGGCTAGCGCTGGCGGCGCCGTCAGTCATCCCCACGCGCGTGCCGAAGGTCGGTGAGGACGCGCGCCTTGAACCTCTCGCGCGCGCGACGAAGCGCTCCAGTGGTCGCCGCCACGGCCAAGTTCTCGAGGTATCTGGGAGCACCATTGTGCCCTGACTCTTCGCTCGCCACTTTGCCGACCAACGCCGCCGACCGAAGTGCCCATCGATGGCGCCCATCGAAGATGGCGCGTTTGCTCCCAAGAAGGGCAAGGCCAAGGCCAAGACCAAGACCGCGCGCCAACTTCTTGCGCCGGCCGACAAAGACGCCGCACGCACTGCACCGGCCGGCAGCTACGACTTCTCGGCGCCACCTCCAGCTCAGTCACGATCGATCCGGGGTCTTGATGTTCCGCTTGGCTGCTCCTGCTGCTATTTTACATTGCCGTATGCTCTCATACGAACCGGTGCTAGAAGCTTTGCGGACATGCACTACTACTAGCAAGCACGTGTAAGACATATATGTTTCTAGATTGATGAAGTTTTAGTTGTGGACGTGTGATATCATCTTGAGTAGAAAGTTTCAGTCTCAACTCTACGAACATGTATGATATATCGATGCATCGTTCAAAGGTATGTTTTTTTTTTCAAGATTTGTAGTCTTGATATGTGTGTTGTTGGTCAATCTTTGGAGCGGTACATATGAGTCTCATTGGCTAGGGACATACACTAATCCCCTCTAGAAATTGAGATTGGAACATCAACTTAGTATTATTCAGTTCTACATTGAGTAATAAAGCACAGTGGTGACACTTGTGTATGAAATGCTATCTTTTATTTGGTTAGGCGGTTGTATATCGGATATATCTTAGTAACCATCAACAAAGCTTTGACTCAAAGTGATGTGATGTTTGATCAATTGCTCAAGAGTGACTAATAAACTGGGACTATCTACGGGTAATGAATTTTATGTTCGAGATAATGTTCACTTGGAAACCATAGCATTACATTGGTACCGAGGCAATTGCTAGTTTTAGGAATCAGTGCGTGTCGAGGAGATAAGAAAAAAAACATAGACAAATTTGTCTGTCCATTTCAGAGCCACACTTCTATAAGATGCACAGGACCCCTTTCAACAAAGATTTTACTATGTTAAATTTTCTAGTTAACTAGCCATGACAACCAAAGCAGTACATGTTAACACACTTGTATTAAACATAAAACTAGAGGCAAAGCGATACATCTAAATCAATCTCTTCGAAGCTGTATGCGATATATGTCATACTCCAAAGAGATATTGTCACCAACTATGCGATTGTGAACATCTTTTTTTTACGCACACAAAACCAAAACCCGACACAAAGATTAGATAAGCACGGGCTATGAGGCTAGATAAAACCTAGTCTTCTATTTTGGTGTAGCATTGATTTGCCTTTGTAATTAATATTTTGTCTGCAAAATCTGATATTTTTATTGGGAAAAACTATAGTTTTATCAAAATCGATATAGTTTTTATTGGGAAAAATCTGATATATTTTTATCAGTACTCTAACTTATTTTGGTCATTTTGCTTGATCATCAGGATCTAGGAATAAAATGTCTGCATCTCAGAGTATTAGCTCTGGAACTTGTGATAGTCCAGCCACACAAGCATCCGTAGCTTGTTGTCGATTTGATGATTGGTTCCAAGGTTCTATTGTTGACATTGACACCAGTTGCACTGGCACTGGCCCAGCCCAACCTGGTGGTGCACCAGTAACAGACACACCTGCAGCTCCAGTTAATATCGGCGAAGATGATCAAGATGATGAAGAGCAGGCTCATCTTTCTAGCAAGAGGTACAAAAAATGCACATCACATGTCTGGAAGTATTTCACCAAGAAAAAGGAGGTTATAGAGGTGGATGGAAAGCAGTATGAGCAGCTGTGGGGGTACTGCAATTTCGCTAGGTGCAATAAGAGGTACAGAGCTGAGGGCCCTTGTGGGACGACTGCATTCAAGAGCCATTTGAGGTCAAAGCACAGTATTGTGGAGGGACAACAACGACTTGATGTTGGTAAGAAACTTCTGGTTTCGAAATTGCTCATATCGTGCCTTTCAAATATGACCAAGAAGTTAGCTTGAGGAAATTGAACTTGGCAATCACCATGCATGAATATCCTTTCAATATAGTTGATCATGAGTATCTTGTTGATTTCATAAAATCTCTTCGGCCTAGCTTTCCGATAAAGTCTCGTGTCACTGTTAGGAAAGAAATAATGGACAGATATCTTCAATGTAAAAGGTAGACATACTGGTGCTAAGTTATACGAGACATTCGGTGAAGTTATGGTTAAATGGTACATTGAGAAAAGACATTTGCATTGACTTTGGATAATGCTAGTTCAAATGAAGTGGTCATCAATGATATAATTTCAGATCTAAAAGAGAATGGTAATGGCTCCCTAGTGTGTGATGGGTTGTTTTTCATGTCGGATGTGCATGTCATATTCTCAATTTGGTTGCTAGAGATGGGTTGAAAGTCATTTTGAAACAATTAGCAAGGTCAAATCACTTGTGCTAATTTGTGAAAGGGTCTCCATTGCATTGGGAAGAGCTTATGAAGTGTGCCACCAAGTGGGTTGGATACAAAGAGGGGTATTCAAATTGATGTGTCAACAAGGTGGAATTCTACCTACCTAATCTTTGAGAGATGCCTTGTACTACAAGGATGCATTTATTAGGGCTGAAGTCTTCAAATCGCCGTAGGTATGCTAAGATTTCTCCATCTTACATTGAATGGGAAAAGGCTTTGACAATTTATGGTTGTCTCAAGAAATTTTATGATCTCACGGAAATTCTCTCTGCCACTTCATATCCCTCGCAAACTTATTTTATAGAGGTTTACGTGATATAAAGATCTTGCTAGATGATTGGTGCTTTAATGAAGATGATACAATTAGAGAAATGGTGTTGCTATGAATGCAAAATTTAAAAATATTGGGAACAGTCCAACATTGCTCTAGTCAGTAGCTTGTTTTCTTGATCCAAGGTATAAGAAAAGGCTAATAGAGTACTACATGAAGAAGTTCCATGGTGATCACTATCAACTTGCACTCGATGAGTTTATTTGTGTGGTAAAGAAACTATACAACTTTTATGCTAGTTCTGCTCCTGCACCAGCAAAGAAAACTAGTAGTGTGGCTGCACCTGGACCTAGTAACACAGCTGATGTATTAATGGGAAATGTAGACCATGACCTAGAAGAATTTCTATATGATGAAAGTGAACATGCTATGGTTGAGACAAATGAGTTGGAGAGGTGTATGGGGGAGCCACTACTGAAAATTGTTGGTGAGTTTGACATCTTAGCTTGGAAAAACAAGAGAGAAGAGTATCCTATCCTTTCACAGATTGTTCGGGATATAATGGCTGTACAAGTATCAACGGTAGCATCCGAGTCTGCATTTAGTGCTGCTGGTCGTGTTGTTGATCCCTATCGCAGTCGTCTTGATCCTGAGATGGTACAGGCATTAATTTGCACAAAGGACTGGGTTGCTGCAGCAAGTAAAGGTGGTCATTTTATCTCTTTTTTTAGTTATACACTTGTAATTGCAGCATAATAATGCATTGATATTTTCCCCTTACTAATATTTTGTTCAGATGCGAAAGTGGTTGGATCAATTGTGAGTGATCTTGAAGTTGATGCTTTGACTAATGTTGTGGCTAAACTGAAAATTGAGGTATGTTTATCCTCTCCTCTGTCTATATTTGATGTTGGCTGTTGTTAAAGCTATCTTGTTGAGTGGAGTAGCACACGCACACACTTTCAACTCCATCTATATATGGTGCCGTGGCATGCATGTACTTGGTCTAATCTTGGTGGCCCTCTTTGGAGGGAGGATCGGGTTGATTGTAGCACAAATAAAAACATTTCTTATTCTCATACACTGATCACACTAATACCCAAAGAGAGTGCATTGCATTATCGAGAAGCCTTAATTATCAAAGCATATGCATGTTACGGCAAGGAGAGATGGATCGGATGCACTAGCTAGCTGCCATATGCAACTCGGCTGATTCTATGGAACTTCCTAATGCTTCTCTGTATATATTCACTTTGCAAATTTCTAGGACAAGGACAAGGAGGCGATGGGGACTCGAGGAGGACAATGAGGATGCAAAAGACATGGAGAGTGATGGGAACTCTGATCCCGACATCATGGATGATGTTGATGAGCTCTAGATGTTCATGTTCTAATTAATTGTGTGTGTCGTACTACTTAAGACCACAGGTCACGCACTTGTTAATTTGAACTAGATCATGCACTTGTTAGTCGCGAACTTGTTATGTATTTGGCCATGAACTTGTTTAATGTTATGCTTTGTGGGTCGGTTCGTATTGAATTCTCGTATACCGACCATGTTCGATATAATTCCGCTCGAATTGTTTCGTTTTCGAAATTCTCGATATTCCGTAAGTTCGTGTTCGTTTTCGTGTTCGGTTTGTCCGCTTTCGTTTTTGTTTTCGTATTCAAATGTAAAAGTAGAAAACGGTTGAAGAGTTCTCCGTTCGATTCCGTCCGTTTTCATCCTTACCTGGGAGGATGAAAAGCTCATCAAGGATCGTTTCCCAGGCGCACCGGCTTGGAGGCAAGCCGGTACTCAAGCCTGGGGAAATGTCACTGTACCGGCAACTAATGCTGAAGAAGAGAAAGGCACATCGTAGGATGAGGTGGACCAGGCTTCTGGTTTTGGATAGGATGGAAGGACCAGTCGCAAAATGAAGCACAACTCTAAAGCCCCCTTTGGCACGGCTCGTCCAAAACGGCTTCGCCGGTGAAGCCAGAAAAACTGGCTTTTTCCGGCTTTTAGTTCATTTTAACCCCGGCTTACAAAACGACTTCACGCTATAGTGCCTCGATTTGCGCAAAATAGATGAAGCCGAAGTCGGCATAAGCCGTGCCAAAGAGGCCCTAAGTACCTCGGCCCACAATGGGCGCAGGTGTGAACCTACGGACAGCTAGCGAACGTTGTAGAAAAAGAGAAGGAAGGCGTGGAAAAGGGAGTGAAGAAGGATGAACTAGGAAGTTAGAATCGGCCAGCTATGTCCGGAAAAACTCGGCGAGATTCATCTCGTGTGTATCTAGATCTTGAATTCTAAGTGTTAAACTCCAGTAATCCAAAATAGAGTTAGTGTAGTGACACAAACACGGCCTAGCAATATAGAAAGGGCTCGTCTACCTCTTTTATTCTCTTCTTGCTCTTTTTCCTCTTTCTTGTCCTCAGTCACTTCCTCTTTTCTTTTTCTTCTACTTCATCAGTTTATCTTATGTCCAAAACTTGTAGGGAGACGTGAAGATGCTCAGCTCTGCTAAGAACGATGACGCGTCGCGAGTGCGGGTAACCATGAAAAAAAATGCATTGCAGATGCAGTAGTGACTTACACACAAAGATGACAATCTGACATGGATCAGGCAGCTTTGCTTGCATTTGGTGTTTTGGATCGACCACAATTACAAAGTCCGTCTTTTGAGAGGATGGTTACAAGCAAGTTCAGCCGACATCCAAATATATAAATACATACATATATATACTTATTAGCATTAGTACTTCACATGAAGTTACTTGGAGCCTCTGCTCTGACCAAAGATACAGATGGGCAATACTGAGCGGATGGGTACACGCAGCTAAGCAGCTTCTTTGACATTCCTTTTTATTTTCTATATATACGGCCAGCGCGGCACGTCGTCTCTGAAGCAGAAGAACCAAAGGCCCAGGCCCAGGCCCAGTGGCTAGACATGCGCAGAGTCCTTTCTCCTACTATCGCCGTCGCCGCCGTCAAGCATGATGCCCTTGTACCACATGGCACAGGCGATGTAGACGGCGAGGTCGACGAGCGAGAGCGCGGCGAGGAGGAAGTAGAACCTGTCCAGGTGGCCGGAGTTGAGGTTCCCAGGGATCCACCCCGGACGCTTCTCCCCGGCGGTGAGGCTCGTGACCACGCTCACCAGCATGATGCTCACGTAGTTCCCCAGCGAGATGGACGCCATGCACAGCGCGCTGCCGAAGCTCTTGACGCCGTCGGGCGCCTGCCCGTTGAAGAACTCCAGCTGACCCACGTACATGAACACCTCCGACGCCCCGATCAGCGCGTACTGCGGCACCTGCCACAGCACGCTCAGGGAGCTCGGCCGGTCCGGGGCTACCACGCGCTTCAGCCGCTCCACCTCCACCACGCCCGCCACCACCATCGCCGCCATGCCGATCACGAGCCCGACGCCCATGCGCTGCAGCTCGGTCAGGCCCTGCGGGTTGCCCGACAGCCGCGCCATGACGGGCACCAGGACCCGCCGGTAGATGGCGATGAACACCAGCACGCTGAGGACGTCGAACAGCGACATGCTCGCGGCGGGGAAGTGGAACGACCCGATGTTAGTGTTCATGGTGGCGCCCTGCTCCACGAACAGCGACGCCATCTGGGTGAACACCACCGAATACACGATCGTGCTCAGCCAGATGGGCAGCATCTTCAGGATGCACTTCACCTCCTCCACCTGCGTCACCGTGCAGAGCCGCCACGGGCTCTCCATCTTCTCCCCCTCGGTGATCGTCGCCGCCTTGTCGAGGAACCTGAGCTCGTCGCTGTGAAGGATCTTGCGGATGCCCGAGATCTTAGGGTCCTCTCCTTCCACCTCGTGGAGGAGCTCGCCACGGGGAACCTCAGCGTGCCACTTGCGGAACGCGGCGACGAACACCTGCGCGACGCGGGTCAACGGGTTGCCGCTCGGCTTGAAGTGCCGGTAGTTGGGCGTGCCGAGCAAGAAGAGCACGAGCGCCAGCGCGGCGGCGGCCGCCGAGACCCAGAACCCCATGACCCACCGCCCTGAGTCCTCGTAGTACACCAGCACCGTGTTGGAGAACAGGGACCCGACGTTGAGCGCCAGGTAGAAGTAGCTGAAGAAGGCGACCTTGGAGCGCGCCTCCTTGGGGTCCGTCTCGTCGAACTGGTCCGACCCGAACGTCGCGATGGAAGGCTGGTACCCTCCGTTGCCGAACGCGATCATGTAGGTGGACAGGTAGAACAGCGCGACGTCGGGCGCCGACGGCTCGTCGCAGTGCGCCTTGACGCCGCCGCAGCCGGAGGGCTTCACCAACAAGAACCATGAGGCAAGCGACAGGATCACCAGGCCCTGACCAAGAACAGACACAGGCAAGTTCAGAACAGCGCACCGACAGAAAAAGGATCGATCACAGAAACAGGAGACTGATGGTTGGTCAGTGCAGTGTCTGGAGATGATCGCACCGTCACGTAGATGATCTGAAAGATGGCGCATGTGACGTATCGGCCCCAGTAGGAGTCACTGAGGAAGGCGCCGATGAGCGAGAAGATGTAGACCGTCCCTGTCCACTTGCTGATGTTGTTGGCCGCCTCGGCGTTGCCCTGGTGGAGCACCCGGCGCAGGAACACCACCAGGTTCACACCGACGCCGAAGAAGGCGCACGTCGCGAGTCCATAGTTAGCTGCATCAGGAACAGACGTGATCCAGTTAGTTTCAGCCCTCAGTACATCTGATCAGCGGTTTTGGGCCCGCAACCAATACTGTGACATCTGTCTGAGCTTAGTCAGGTTCCAAATGTATGTTAAACAGAGTTTATGGATCATGCCAGAGTGAATCGATGAGGGGGCAAAACATAGTGGAAAACCTGAAGAGTACTAGGATGCTTTTCCAGTGAATTAGTGATGGAGTAACCCTCCTCACTTTGGAGTTTGTTGCTATTCAGCCGAAGAAGGGGTTCTCGTTGAAGGTCCAGTTTGGATTCTGAACTGCATTCAACTCAGGCAGGCAATACATGGGAATAATGCTTGCAAACGGAAAAGGTTGCAGTGATCAATTACACAGTTGAAATGTTGAGTTAACTGTTCCATTCTGGAGTTCTTTACAAAATCAGAATCTTGTAGCTATAGCAATCATGTACAGAGCGAGTCGTTACTGATCAGGCATCATGTGAGATGTTTACAACATTTCTTTCTTTTTTTTTTAAAAAAAAAGAGAGCAGCTCTTACCTAACAACAGGACGGCAGATCTCCATCTTCCGGTGGTTGTCTTGACAGCTGGGTTTCCTCGTCTGTCCATGGACCCATCTTCAGTGATGGGAGACGTCCACTTCGAATCAACAGTGGTAGCATCCATCACCTTGTTCAGTGAGTTTTCTGAACCTACACAGTTCTGCAGACTGCTTCATCAATTATTCAGAAAATAAACCAACAGTTAGTCACCAGAAATTCCAATGTTACTTTTTTGGTTCTTCACAACCTCCTTGTCTGTCTTTTTAGTTGCTGTACTATGTACTGTATTGAATGAACTATTTCATTTAGGATACTGTTACACAGCAGTCCTGCATACATGATGTGGAAACTCAGCAACTGTTCCGATTAAAATGTTCTAGTAGTAACTGAATTCTGAAATACGTACATACCAGTACTAACAGGATACCTTTTTGTTGCTTAATTTATCCCCTGCGGCTTCTTCAGGAATTTATGCAGCCTTTCCCTAACGAAGCCTTGAGCCAGCAAGATTTACCCTGTGATTGAGATATATATAATAATATCTCATGTTAGGGATGAAGTAACAATAGATTACAAAAACATAACGCTTCCTAATTTAGATCCACAACTATTAATTAACCTAATGATAACAAAGCTGAGCATGCAGAAGATGCCTTTTTTCTTCTCCCGAAGTGCACTAGCGTAGAAACAAGCAGAGACGGTCATCATGTGCCGCCGTCAGCTGGCTCTTTTTGTCATGATCTGGTCTGCACGTATCAATATCAGACACTACTCCAGAAACGAAGCAGCTACCTGTCCGTCCGGCCAAAACATCGTGTAAACCATGCACGCCCATATAGTGATATAGGCAATAGGCATAGGCCGGCTCGATAACAATGATGTCGTACGTTGTGCACACAGCAGCAAATTAAACGTAAGGGTTGTTTCTTTTACCATGCACACCAACAGAATCCCTTCAGTTTAGCAGGGCGGCTGTGACTGATGATGAGTTCCTTGCGCATGCATGTTTCAGAAGCGAACTCTTACAAAAATCAGTTTACTATCCTTTCGTTCCTACTAGTTGTATCGCAAAGGACGGACAGATAACTTGATGGCAACTGTGAGATGCGATTAACACTCTAACTCGGATAGATTATTAATATATAAGCATACGTACGTGCACGCGTACCTTCCTTGATAAACCCTCCGGTGCGACCACGCAGCAACTTCTCCGGCGACGGGGACGATAGGCACGTCAGGAAGAACGAGACCGGAGCCAGCACTTGTACCTCGACGACGCCGGCAAGGCCTCCAGTCATTTACCGGACAAACTCCCAACAGAAGTGGCCGCGGCCGGCGATGAGCACTCTCTCTGTCTCTCAACAAGTAGCGACTACGTGCGTGCAGCGCAGTGGTGGCGCCCGCGCGTGGCCAACGATGACCGATCTCCTCTTCCTCTCGGTTCCTCTCCACCACCGGCGGCAATGCAGCAGCAGACGGCGAGTGGGGAGCGGATAGGAGAGGTGCGGGGGGGTTGGACCTCGGGGGGCGCACGGCCGCGTATTTATGGACGCCGGGAGCCGGAGGGGGAGGGGCAGTGACACGACCCGACCGGCAGGCGGCAGCGGCCAGCGGGCAGCGGAGTGAAGTGTTGGTGGCGGTGTTCGTTTTCTCCTACGGCCTGCGGGTAAAGCGAGCACGCCGACACATGTGGCACCGTGCATGGGCCGTGCCAGCTGTTTTCTTGACCCCATTTCCCCCAGAAAGACGGAGATCTTGTGACTTGTGACCCGGGGGCTCGTCGCTGCCGACCGATCGAGCCCTTGCAATCCTTGGTAGAGTGATTTATTTTTCTTCTTCTTTTTAATCGTGCTACTAATTTAGCGAAATCCTTGCCACGCGAGCTAGGGATTTAGGTGTGCACTCTTCATCCGCTTGCTAAGTCACCCGCGATCTTCTTCTGGATTTGAGAAAAATGGTGCCTTCTGTGGATGTACTCCGTAGAGGGATATCCAGGCCGGCGACGGCCGGCTCCAATGGCTGTCGACGACCGAGATGATGAGGTGGCATCAACGGCCGTGATGCCCGCCTCAGCGGGTTGGCATCGGAGTGGCTAGGGAAGACCGCAATGGAGTGTGGAAATACTGTACCAGAGCCGGGGCAGAGCATGGTGTATGGTAAGGTTAGAAAACCTTTTGGAAATCATATAGGGCGTTCATTTTTATCCAAGCTCATAACTGGCATGCTTATCAGGGCTGTAAATTTGTCAACAAAATACTTTTCATTCCTAAATTTGACCTCGTGAGTAGCTGGAACAACAGTACTGAAGCACGAGCACACGTGAAAATAAGGTGATGAAGATGTAGATACATCCCCTAGCCTAGTCGTAGCAAATGATTCTAGACAAGAAAATTAATTAAGGGCGTACGTCGCTGTGGATGTCCTCTTGGTGTGACGATGCATACGCGACCGCGACTGAGTGGTCATGGCTACCTAATTGACCGGCCGGCGCCGATGCACGCGAGCGCAGTTGTCCCGTCAGGTTTTCCACGTTGCATTGTGCGCTTGTGCCGCTCTCCATCCTCTTGACGTCGTCTTGAGACTAACATGGTACAGTAATAGTAATAATGGACATCCAGGTACATGTCAAAGTACTGGTTGGTCCTTGTGTGACGTGTGGGGTCCCAAGGCGTATATATGCGAATCGGCGTGGTATTGATGCATAAGTGAAGTTTCACGCACGGTTGCTTCCAGTTTTCACGCTGCTTTATGCCTTTATCTGTATATCTGACCACATACGTCCATGAACCATGATAATGGCGTTGTTCGTTTCTCTCGTAATTCATACTTTTTCAGTTTGTTTTTTTAATCGAAACAATATTTTTTTTTAAATCAATCGGATTTGTTTTTTTTTTTGACAGCGAAGCGAACAGGGCAAATACGTCCATGATGACCCAACACGCTGAGCGTTGCTGCTTTTAGACGTGACGAACAAAAAGTTGGTGGTTTTTGCCTTATCAGCATTGCGCCGATGATAGCCACAACCACTTTCTGGTTGGGTCGTTGGATTGATCCGCAAATCGAACGTCAAAAGGATTCAGATGTTTTGTCCTCGTCGATATACTCTGGTACTGTAGATCGATGGCCTCGTTGCTCGCTAGCTCAACCGGTATATATGACGGAGAGTTGTTCATGCGAAGTTGGTTTCCTGTGTCGATCGAAATTAATATTGTGACGTGTACACCGACAGCCATACGGCATCTATTCCAGAAACACTCGGATGTACCTACAAACTTGGAAGAGAACGGTGCTGCCGGATTAAGAAATTGTCGTGTTTTATTATTACACCACAAGTTCATTCATGGCACGGAACAACGCAGGTACGTGCAAGTTCGGACTCATCAGGGGCACGCATGCATGCATGTTACTCCATGATATTTCACTATAATACACGGGCACACGGCGGCGCTAGCTAGCTAGATATTCTTGCCTGCCTGTTTGCGCGGCACAGCTCATATCTGCACACCGGTCGATACATAGACGTCGCTGCCACGGTACAGAGACTAGGCGACTAGGCTAGGGTAGGCAGCTGTGGGGGCACGTTGTACCACAGTGAGAGCGAGTACGAGTACGTACCAGAAGCGTCGTCGCCGTAGAGCCCAAAGCGAAACCTTTCACTGCCAACTCCGGGCAAGTAAGCGGAGGTACCCACCCTACAACGTACTGTAGCCATCGTGGTGGTACAAGGAATCTCGCGCAAAGTCCAAGCAGCAGGTGAGGTGACCCATCGGTCGGTCGTCTTGGGATGAGCCGTGCGACGCTTTGCATAGTTGCGCTCATGGCTGTGGCTGCACGCATGCACGATGCGTGAGGGAGAGCTCGCGCGCACGCGCTACGGACAGCCCTCGGAGTCGTGTGACAGCACTGCCTTTTGTTGTCGTCGTGCGCTTTAGACCGGTGGAAAGCGGCGCTTTTACGGCTATAGACTGACATCGAGCTGGAAAAGGATAAGTGAAGGAGTAGAGCCAGCCAAAAGTGATAAGCTATCACTGGATGCCTGGATCTAGCAGACGGATCGATCACGAGTTGAATGTATGGTTCGCAGCTGTTGCCTGTTGGTGTTTGGGAGGATCACGAACGTAGTGCACCGCATATGGACTCCTGCGCTCGCGGTACGGTGTGCGTGTGTGTTTTCTTTTTCTCTCCGTGCCTAACTTTTGTTGCCCCTGCCCTGCTTTGAACTTTCCCGGATGCAATGCAACGGAGGCAAAGGTGGTTGAACAATTTGGCCGCGGAAATGACACCGACTGAAGTGGATGATGAGACGTTGACAGCACCATCATCGTACATGCATGGTTGAGGTTTAGCGTCAGGCGGAGAACAGCCGCGACGATGGACCAGACTATACCAGAACCTAGAGGGGAGGAATGAAATAGATATTTTGAGCACGTCTCACGATTGTGTATGCGGGATCATGCGTGGGAGTCTTATGGTTGACAAACTTTTGAAGGATGATTATTGGTAACTAAAGACGAAAACAAATACTCCCTCCCTATCAAAATACAAAGTACTATCAAATGTTCAAAAAAAGATCCTAAATTATAAGGTATTCTGATCATTCAACATTACCTATGCATGTTAGCTTTTTTTTAATCACATCCATGTATATGCATTTTAGACCTATCTTGAACAAAATGACTTCTACAATTGGTAGCTGAAATCAATAGCAAGTATGCATGTGTTACTAGGAAATTAAACAAGCTTTTTTAGATTAAGGGGAAATTAATCTAGAAAAAAAGGAAACTAAACAACTTGACAACCAAATTAACTAGTGAGGAGTAAATTTTTTTTATCGGACTCTTATTTGATCCTACAGTTGCTTGGGTATTTCGTATTTTAGGATGAAGGGAGTACTAGGTGCTAGGGCTTATTTGGTCCTTTCTAATTTAAAGTTTTTTATCTTTTTTGAGAAACAAACGGGACCTTAAGTGAATCCAAAGAGGACATCTATGCGATAGCCCAACATGTAACAGATTCGCAGGCAGTGGCGGAGGCAAGGCCCGGCCACCCTGGGCCGGTGCCCGAGCTCAGCAAAACCTGGCACCTGCATGCTCCAGTAAGAATTGCGCACGTATTCCAGCTGGTTACTGCCGTTCCTGTTTTTCTTTCTAAAATCTACATGTTCACGGAGATGATGCTAGGATCCTTGCCAGCAGAATAAACAAAACAAAACAAATTGTTTACTATTCGGCCAAAAGTATGTGCCATGAATTCCTCCTTTATTAAATAGTAATCTAGTATCAGCCATGATTAATATATAATCGGTTTACAATTAATGTGGTTCTCTAGTTTTGCTTTCAAGTACAATGCTCTATATTATGTGTTATGTTCTATTTAGTAAGGCTCCGGCTCTAACTTCTCGCGGCTCCTAACAAGAAGTTATGCTAAACGGACATCTATAAAATGCCTTCTTGCTAGGAGCCCAGACGAGTTGGATCCATTTTTTTTTATAGAGGAGCCAGAGCCACAGAAATGTATCTTCTTTCGGTTTCTCCTCGCAAACCTCCTGCAAATTATTACAAAACTGCTACTGAAATTTTTTTTGCCAAACATTTTTCAAAACAACTCCAACTTTATTAAAAGAAGCTACTTCGAGCCGGAGCCTTCACGTGAGGAGCCGGAGCCATGGGAGTCCGAGCCCTAGGAAACGGGCCCTTAATATTATGTGAGTCCTTAATATTACGGTTGTGTCTCTGCCCAGTCTCCAAAATTCTGGCTCCGCGCATTGTTCTCAGGTGTGAGCCACAGCTGTTAAGTAGTGCCTGACACCCCATGTTTGGTAGGGCCAGTCTGCAGCTGTGTACTACTGACAAGTGACAACCCATGTGTTAGCATAGTAGGAGCCTGCACCTTGAGAGACTGGGACCGAGGCCCTTTTTGTTTTTTGATGAGACGCGGGGGGGGGGCGCAGCCACAACAAGCCTGCCACTGCACGGGCCCTACATGGCCAGCCAGAACTTGGGTCCGCGGCTCCGCGCATCCAAGACAGATCGGGCGCCCAACACCCCCATCCATACATGAAAGAGGCCCGTGTAGATGAAACTCGAACTCAAAAGTAATAATGAGGCCCAATTAAACTGAGAATATGGACTAGCGGCCCATACAGCAATAACTGCGGCAACTACCCGCACCCACTAGAAATCAATCAACCGGAGTGATGGGAGACGAGACCACCGGGAGCACCCGACCAGACCCGAGCGAAGCAGAGCAGCGGACAGATCGAATCGAGATAGGCACAGGCAGGGGAGCTGCTGAACTAACCGAGGTGGACTGGGCGAGCGAGCGAGCGAGATGGAGTGGACGACGGTGGAGACGGGGGACGGCGCGAAGCTGAGCGTGCGGCTGTTCAAGCCCCCCGCGTCCGGGCAGGAGCCGGAGCCGGAGCCGGGGGAGGACGTGGTGGTGGTGCTGGTGCACCCCTACACCATCCTCGGCGGCGTGCAGGGCCTGCTGCGGGGGATGGCGGAGGGCGTCGCGCGGCGGCGGTACACCGCTGTCACCTTCGACATGCGCGGCGCCGGCCGGTCCACGGGGCGGGCGTCGCTCACGGGCTCCACCGAGGTCGGGGACGTCGTCGCGGTCTGCCGATGGGTCGCAGAGAACATCAAGCCGCGCGGCATCCTCCTCGTCGGATCCTCAGCTGGTAGGTTCCACTCTTTCGCTTCTCCCTGATGTGGCGAAACCCTGTCGCGATCCGTACCTTTTCTTTTCAGTTCATGGGAGCGTTAATCAGTCAAATTGACCAAACAGCTTCGCTCTTATGAAGCTGTTTTTGGTCAATTTGAATGTGCAAATGACAATTCTCTTGGTACTCATTCGGGCTAGTAAGCAAATAGTAGCTGTTGATGAATTTGCTGCATTCAAATTGGAAGCTCAAACGTTGTCCTCATGGAATTTCTGCGTTTCAGTCTGTATACTCCAAACTTGAATCTGTAATTAGCAGATAGGCATTAATATTTCATCTAATTTTATTTAGGGACCTAATTTCTGTCAGATATCCTTAAGGAAAGTAGTGGCAAAAGGTTTCCTGTTAAGTAATCTACACAATATTTCAGCAAATCCTCCTAGAAATGTAAAGTAGCTTGGATGTCTGCTTCCTGTATGGCTGTATGTAGTGGTTGCGATTAAGTTGATCCTATCCACTGCAATTGTCCGTGAGCTAGTTGATGGAGATGAACAAGATGGTTGAGTTTGCATTGAAGAATCAAGACGTGGTATTCTGCATACAAGTCTTCTCCTGTCATTTATGAAGCTGTTGTATTGTGTTTAGGCATGTGTCTAACAATAATTCCCTGATGCAGGGGCACCAATTGCCGGATCTGCAGTTGATAAAGTGGACGAGGTGATTGGTTACGTTAGCATCGGGTACCCATTTGGTCTGATGGCCTCAGTCCTATTCGGAAGGCATCATGATGCTATACTCAAGTCTGAAAAACCAAAGCTTTTCATCATGGGGACCAAAGATGGCTTCACCAGTGTGAAACAATTGCAAAACAAGCTCAAATCTGCAGCTGGACGGGTTGATACACACTTGATTGAAGGAGCTGGGCACTTCCAGATGGAGGGTCCTGCTTTTGATGCCCAGATGGTAGAAATTATTGTTAAATTCATTAATTCCTTGCCAAACTAGCATTATGGTCACTGTATGAGAGTTTGCAAAAATTCTAGTGACAAACAAAGCATGGTATTTAAATACTGCCACCATGGTGTGTATTTTCTCATCCTGCAAATGTGTGCTCCTCTGTTGTTTTGGAATAGTGTAACTGTGTGTGTTGTATAATGTATTTTGAATTCTTGATCCCTCCTCCCTCCCAACCCCACCCCAAAAAAAAAAAAAAAAAACTTAAAACCGATGTAGTGTTGACTTCGAAATTCAGGCTTTATTAAAAATCTCATTTCCATCATGACCAGGTAATCTAGTATCTATTTGTACTATACTATGATTAGCATCAAGTTTCTTCCAGATATTTCATATTTCCCAGGCAAAAATGCTTATCAACTCATGCTCTACCTGTAAGCAGTCACTATACTTACCGATGTAATGGTAACCGATCCAAGCATGTTATGTGTTTCAGGTATGGCATCTGTCACTCTGAAATCTGAAACTTAAATTACTTGAGATCTTTTTATTATAGTTTGTACTAATGTCTTTTCATGATTTGTTCCTTTATTGTCAAGCTGGTGAGAAGTGATCATGACCAATGATGACTGAATAACTGAGATGTACATAACCCTGTAAATAAATCAAAAATATATTATTCAGTATCGTCTTTGGCGGACAGCTATACACTCAGGTACAATGTTGGTTTTCAAGGATACCTTCTTCAGGTGCGGGAAAATGCATGATGAGCACCTGAATAATATCGGGAAGCTTTCAAGGTTACTGTCATCCTGCTGTTGTTGAGCATGCCATCCTTCCATCATAAGTACACGATTCAAATTCTAAAGGGGTGTCTACTGAATTTAAATTGAGCAGAGGCTGTCAAACAGAATCTGGTTTGCTGAAATCTGGCTTTCATAATACGTCCGTGCCTAGATCATTTTCCCCCTCTGTCTGTCGGCAGATGGCGCGCTGATGAAAGTGCAGTGCCTTCAAGGGTGTGGTCCAAATCTGTTTCTCTTTATTTGCATAAAGCTTATCAGCACTTATTCTTGGTTGCTTGTTCTTATCAGCGCTTATCAGCCAGCCATTCAGCAGTGTTTTTTTCACAACAAATCAGCTTCAACCAGCCAGAAACCACAACAAATCAGCTTCAGCCAGCCAGAAACCAGGCAGCGAACGGGTAAAAATCTGTTGCCCAGGCTGAGCGTAATCTGCATCCATCTGATGAAATGCACATGCAGACACAAAGAAAGTGATGAGACACGCAGGCTTTTCCTCGTTCATCCCATGTATCCTGAATCCCAGATGCAGCGGTAGTCGTCCAGCTGTAGAACATGTCCTGAGCGCGTGAATTCCTAACGAAAACTTGTCCAACTGGAGAGGCTTTTCTTTGGGAAGCATCTGGAAATAAAATTCTCTGGAAGAACAGGGCAGAAAGCACTGTTGGTTCATAAAAATTTGGTTGGGTCAATCTACAGCTGTCCAAAGTCCAAACAAGCATGGGCAAAACAACAAAAACATATTACAAACAAGCTTTGAGAAACGGGAACATACTCTACTCCGTGGCTCAGTAAGGACCTGACATCAAGGGCAGCAAGTACATTTTCTGCGGCGCTTTAAACAGCCTGTCGATATATATATATATATATATATTATAATATATATATATATATATATATATATATATATATATATATATATATATATATATATATATATATATGTCTGCATTATTTAGTTTCAACTAGGTTTATCAATTATTAATTATTTTTCTCTCACAATAAATAGATCACCAATCCAAACCAAATTTCGAAACCAATCAAACAGGACGATACAATATGTGATACAGTATATTCATTCAGGAATACGACAGTGCCATTGCAATTGCAGGTGTACGGGACTACATGCACAGACCTCGTTCCGGTTGGGGCATTTGATCTTGATCAAATGGCTCTGTTTTGGCACACTTATTCCTGCTATGGCTGATTTGTAGAGTTGATTTATTGTGAGAGAAAACACTATTCCATGACTGAAAAAGTAGAGCTGATTCAGGCCTTCATGGCGGCTTCATGACTGTAAAAATCCGTGGAGTTGGCGGCTGTGAAAGGTAGAAGACGAAATTGTTCAAACAAAACCTCTGTTCGTTTCTCTTATAATCTGTCTTTTTTAGCCAGAACAGTGTTTTTCTCTCCCAACAAATCAGTCGGAACAGTGTTAGACTTGTTTTTTCAGCGAAACGAACGGGACAAAAAAAAAAAGATAGAAGATGAATTCAGATTCAAAGTAAAGGGCAGAAAAATAATCATAGTGTCAGGATTCACTCCAATTTAATACGGCCACTTGCCGCAAATTGCTGAAGTCGGCTTTGCTTTGTCTAATCCCTATAACCTGTTGATACTGTTAAAGTCAGTTACAGCTAGCAATGCTGTGATTGTAACAGTTCATATTACAGGTATGGTTGAAACAATAAACACCGAAAAGCATCCAGTGGTAATGCCTAAACAAAATTACTGCTTGGTAGCAAAATTACTAAAAAAAAAACAAAAAAAATGGCTCACCCAAACCAGGGCCTTGTTTAGATTGTCTCAAAAGCCAAGTTTTTTACTTCACCTCTGGAGCCAGCTCATCGGAGAGAACTGTATGGCATCATTAAATTGTAAAAAATAACTGGCCTAGGTTGTCAGGTTGTAAGGTATTAAGGCAATCTTTTAACCTAGTTAATCAATGATCGGACAAACTTTATCCAACACAAACGAAAAATCCCATTATCAAATTACAAAAATTTGCAATCTAAACAAAGCCCAGGTGCCATACACTCATACAGGAGCATGGTTCACTACTTCACCTGGAGCTGGAGCCAGCTCATCGGAGAGAACTGTGGCTGGCATCTTCTCTTGTAACAAAGCCGTGGCCTAGGTTGTCAGGTTGTCAGGTATTAAGGCAACTAACCTAGGAGTATTGGTAAAAATAACTTCCACCAACATGGAACAAAAATCCCATTATGGTAAAAGTTAACCGCGTCCCTGGGATCCATCTTGCTCACCCATTTCTTTAATTAATCAAACAGTCGAAGCACTCTCCCCCTCCCCCATTTTTCAACGGTTGGTAGACTGTAAATAAAAGCATAAACAGACAGCTAATGGCCCCTCAACAAGCTATATATATTTAAAAAATCCTGGAGCAGAACCAAACCTCTCTCTCCTCCCTAACCCCAGCTGGTGTGCTGCTGCGGCTGCCCCAGCAGCTATTGGAGCTCAACCATCCAGAACTCCAGGGCGCTAGCGGTTCGTTGATAGAAACCCTCCTGCTTCCCTTCCTGCACACCACATCTCAATCTTTGCCGTGACTTCCCGATCTGCGGTACTTCCGGCATCGCGAGCCGAAGTTTGCCACCGATCCATTAGGTCCTTTGCATTCCTTTTCCTCCAGCGCCGGCAAAGCTTCCATCTTTTCGCCAACGGACTTGACTTGAGAAATGGGGTGCATGACGCTCCTTGGAGTAGACGCAAGCTTTATGGAAGGTCAGATTCTTGTTTTTCATCAATCCATTAATGTATGGAGCGGATCGGCTGTTGAATCGGCCCCTGTTTCTGTTTCTTTTTCGTTCATATATAAGTTAAAAATCTCTCTTTCTTTTTTACTTTATCTAGTTATTAGATGCGTATTGCTTCCTATTTATGTAACTTCCAATTGGGTATATTCATGTTGTTTGATTTGAATTCGTCGATTCTCGATAGACATCCTTGTTTCTGTTTCTTATTCTTAGTTTCGTTCATATTTTTTTTAAAAAAATCTCTCCTTTTCGTTTTACTTTATTTGATTAGATGCGTATTGCTTTCTATTTTGTATAGCTTTCATTTGGGTATATGTGTGCCTTTTGATTTGAATGAATCGATTTTCGATTGACATGGATCTCAATAGACCTCGTAGTCCATTCTCTCTCTTTTCTTTTCTTTTGAAGGATAAAGAAGTTCATTGTTACATACACACTCCGATCTCCATTACGATTTTTGGTCCTTAACTACCCAGATTTCTGAGCATGCCCTTGATTCTGTTTATACAGATTTCTAGTATATCTTTTTTTACTAGACTGCCAAAGGACCAGTTGTCTTGACGAAGTACTTCATTTCCAACAAGCAATCAGATAAAACAAAAGGAGCAGCTTCAACAGAGCCTGCAGCTCCAGTGATTGGACTGACCAATATTTGCACTGCTGAAATTGAATCCATGGGTAGAGGAAGAGGGAGAGGGAAGAAGCTAACCACTGTCAGGAGCCATGAAGACAAAGGTAGCAGTGGTGAAGAAGTTGTGCCTGCAAAAAAGAGGAGGGGAAGGCCCCAAAAGCACTTCGCCAATAAGATCGATCAAGCAGATGTTGAAAATTTTGTAGAAAAGGTCGATGGCGACCAAGAAGTTGATGATGCCAAGCTGAAGAACAGCGCTGCAGCCGGTGGTAACAAGAGGGGCAGGCCGTTGAAAGAGGGCTCTAATATTGTCATAGAAGATAGTAACTCTATTGTTCGATCAAGCAGTGATGAATCAACAAGGACCAATGGATTCAGGCAGATTGGGAGCCGGCGGAAAAACAAGCCCCGGCGAGCAGCAGAGGCAGGACTAGAATGCAAGTGAATCATCCCTGTGGTTTTCAGTACAAGGTAGCATCCAATTTTTTTGCTATATTGTCATGTCTAGTAGCTCCCAGTGCTGAAAAACAAAACTCATGTCTAGTAGCTCCCAGTGCTGAAAAACAAAATGTAAACTAGCATGTTCAGATTGCATGCCTCAGTTTTTTTCCTTGACCCGAAGTGTATGAACTAATGGTACACCTACTTGTTCAGCTGCTCTAGGCCTGATTCTATTTGAGCTGCTTGTAGCAGAGATTTTACCTTTCAGTTTACAAAAACTGGTGATACCAGAAGGTGTTCCTGCAATTTTGATTAGTCTGGTCTTCTCATTTGCTCTTACTGCAATTATTTGTAGTTTATTAAGTTCTGGAAATGAAAAAGAACACAAGTGCTGTCTTGAGG